CCCTTCATAACAAAGGTCCATTTCCTTGTTTGTATGCCCTTGGACGAAATTGGGTGTCTACAGCTGCCCCTCTTTACTTGTCCTTTGGAACAGTAATGTGTTACTTTTCCAAAGGCAAGTAAAGATGTAGATATTTTGTCCAGGTCTTTTCTTTATCTCTTTGGTGCTTCTACGTTGTTTCCCTTAGATAGGTGTATTTGTTCGTATCCTCACCCTTAGATAGGTGAGTATTATTATGTCTGGCCTCTCCAGGCTGCATGCTGATGCTGATGATGTGATTGCTCATTTTCTTTGGGAGGATGTCTGATGAAGACAAGGATTACTGGTAGGTGGTGCCCTTGTGATGGTGGGCAAAGGAGTACATGTTGAGTATTATTATGCTTGGCCTCTCTGGGCTGCCTACTGATGCTGATGATGTGATTGCCCATTTTCTTTGGGAGGGCGTCTGATGAAGACGAGGATTGCTGGTAGGTGGTGCCCTTGTGATGGTGGGCAAAGGATTAAATGGGTGATAGGGGTTCTGGTACTGCCCCTACCATACGAGTATTGTGATGCCTCTCCAGGCGCCTATTTGTGGTATTTTTTTTTCTCTGAATTTCATTTTTTAGCTACGACTTTTTCATGTTTGAAGCTTGCCTTTTTTGCTATTTTTCTAAATGCTTTGGCTTTTTTCAACATTTACGAAGCTTGCCTTTTTCTCATGTTGTTAATTTTTCTCTATATTGTCATCATTGGTGGAGGGATCCATTCCCATGATGTTATTTGCTGAATCTTTATTGATGAGTATTATTTTGTAAGCCACTCCTACTTTGGTGAGGAAACCATTCCTAGTTTGGGCATTCTCTTGGATCATCCTTCATTTGGTTGAGAAGTGAGGCGCGATGGCCTCCTTCTGCTTATGGGCTTGCTTATTTGGTTGATTTCATTCTATTCCATTGTTGATATGTCTTTGTTTAGTGGGCATATAGAATACTTGGGGTTTGTTTTTGACACCACTTTGGCTCATGCTTGACTATTGAGCTTTTACAAGTGCTTTGTCATGATGACTCCTTCTGACCTATAGCAAGTAGAATGCATGGATGCAATGAAAATGCAAGACAAGAATGATTTAATTATTTTTTTTTTGTGTAACACCCTTCCATATGCCCCTATCTCATATGCATGTGATGCAGTTTATGCTCATGTGTTTAGTCCTAAACATGCAATTCAATTTTTTTTATGTCGGGAAATTAATATGTGCGCGTAAAGGTTAATGTTGACGATTCCTTTTTATCCATGCCGTTTTTTATTATTACCGGGATATGTTCTTTTGAACTCAAGGTTTCAGTGACTCCTTGATTATCTAGTCAATGTATAGTCAAGCATCTTCAAACTCCTTTTGGAGACGTCTCAGCCTTCCCTCTGTGAGTATTCACTGTGCATTTTATGTGTATCTTTTCGGTACCATTTTAATGCCATAAGGGTCAAGAGAAAAGAAGAAAGGGGATGTTTGTATTTTTTCGCAAAGGTTTATTAGAAGGGATTTTTTATAAAAGGGGTTTTTAGAAGAATGGCTAGCCAAGGTAGGCTTTGGTGTTTACAGTTATCAAACAAAACATATTTGCTACAAGGAAGCTATCATTGTGTTTTAGCCTTTTTGGAAAGTGGAGGGATGACTTGGGGTCGTGTTCTGATTGAATGATTCCCCGGAGCTGCCTTTCGGTTTTCAACTAAGGTTGCTGCTTTAACATCATAACTTTTGCCTAGGTCACTTGGGATGTGTTTCCTAGCAGACATTTTTCTTTTGATCCTTACTTTTGCCTAGGTTGTCCTTTTCGATTGTGGGCCCCTAACAGATCTTGCCCTAATTTTGCGTAGCACCCCTTAGTGGATTTTTACCGGGCTTTCATTTTTGCAGCGTTTGTATGGGATGCCCTATTTTTATTAAACCCAGTCATGTTTGGATTCCTGATTGTTCCTTTGTTATCCTTTCCATGCTATTATTGAGTAACATCTTTGTCGCAAATACATCTTGTTTATTAAGGGTTAATGGATGAGGCCTAGAGTGAATATTTGAAGGGAGAAGAGAAATAAAAGAATGTTATGGCATTTAAAACAGTACTTCCAATTTACATGTGCCCCTTTAGCAAAGCTCGGAGGCCCGGGCATGCCCCGAGTTCATGATCCGTACAAAGAGAGATTAACTGAGGTTGCTCCCTAGAGAGGCATGGTTGACAATTGGTTGAACTACGTTAGGAATGCATTCCCACTTGCTTGAATGTGGGTGTTTTGACTTCGGAGTAAAACCTTTATGAATTCTTGCTTTCTAAAGGGAATACTCAAGCCGCCTTTCGATTTTCAACTTGATCATGCATTGCTTTTCTACATATATATATATATATATGTATATCCCTAACTTTTGCATAGGATGTATCCTATCGGGATTTTGATTCCTTTACCCTAATTTTTGCCTAAGATGCCCTTTACGGGTTTTTGTCCTAGTGGGTTTTTGTCATGCAATGCCCTTATTCTTCAATTGGGTTTTGTCTTGTAATTCCCTAGAAGCAAGGATTCATCCATTCTTGATCATTCCTTTTATCCCAATAGTTGTCATTTCCGCATGGGGAACTCTCAATGTTTGAATCATCAATTTGGGGATGTTATGCCCCCTTTTAAGTGCTTCAATTTGATGTATCAAGTTTGCATTTGATTACCATTGATCTCATTATTCGATTAACATGCACAGGTTCGGTTTCACTCTTTGTTCTTATTTATTATTTACTAGGAAGACATGTTATCTATATGAAGTGCAAAATAGGATGCAAAGATGATTGAGAAATTCAACAAATATCATTCTCATTGATTTGTTTGTTTAGAGAAACATTCTTTGTACAAGATCTTTCAGTGCACTTTGATGATGTTGTTGCAGGCTACAGAAGCTCATGCTTGAATGATGTCCCTATAAACATGCTTGCTCGTTCGTTAATTTGCAATTAGTCTTCATTTCTTCTCAAATTCTCTTCTTGCTATTCCCATCAGAAGTAACCGTCAATAGGATCTTCGAGTTCCCCACTATTTTGGTGATTGCCAAAATTTTCATCTTTATTGACGAGGTTGATGAGTCAGAGAAGAAAGATGTGGTTTGGAGTGATTTGATAATGAATTGGAGGTGTAAGGGTGCTTATTATAAATTTTTCAAACTCCGTAAGTTCATGATTTCTCATTCATCAGCGGAGTTTTCTTTAGCTTCCTAAACTATGTTCTTTTGAAGCAAATTCTTTTTGTCTTTTTTTTTGTTTCAATTTCCTTTTTTTGCATGCTTCCTTTTCAAAATTTCAATAATCTCCTATTTGAATTGAGGAATGACATCTTTCTAGATTGGAAGAAGTCTGAGAAGATGTAGACTTTGCCTTTTTTTGGAAGGATGACGAGAGTTCAAAGTCTAGTAAGCCTCCTTAGTATAAGGGCACACGATTCTTATACTTTAGAATGTTCTTCTTTCTCGAAAATCTTTGCATACTATGTGTCTTCCATTTCTAATGAATGTATATGCTAAACTAAAAGATGCATGATATTTGTTTTCTACCTAAATTTTATCATTTTTTTAAGGTTATGATGCATGATTTTTGCTATATATTTATTTGTTTTTGTCGATTTTTTTTATAAATAAACTATCTTATATGATGCTTTGAGGTTTGGGTATATAGAAGGGAGTTAAATTTTTTATCATTTTTTTTATTAATATCTATTTGTTTGTAATTCTTATCCATTTGAAATAAATAAACACAAATAAATACAACACACATATTCTCAAACAAAAGTACACCCGCGAGCAATCATGTTTAAATCTTTGGTCTGTGGTCCCTGTAAGAAAAGTGCATTGTATAGGACAGTTCTAATATCACTGGTCTTAAGGCCCCCAAGGTGCCCCCATTATAGGGACCCAGTATCTCTATCGCCGTCACCTGGCAAACTTTGAGGTCTATCGCAATATTTCAAGCTAAAGTAACCGGTTATCACCTTGAGTGTGATTTCCAACAAGGCTCGCAGGCTCCAAGGCCAAACATGGGTCGATTGTACGTCAATCACTCCCTATGTTTAATACCCTCATGCCCCCGGGTGTAGGGGGAACTGTTGTGTGCAAAGGTTTGTGTACAATTTTTATTCAAACAGGTACAAAATTTAAACAGGCAAACATATATTAAAGCCAAATAAATAAAACAAAGAAAGTAAAAGAGAAAAATATTTAAATTATTATTCTTATTTTCTTAACTTCATATATTATATGGGCCTGACCCTCTTTAAACTTTCCCAACAGAGTCTCCATCTGTCGCAACCCAAAAATTTCTGATCTCACGACGTATGGTTTAGACATCCTTTTGAAAATCTCATCAATTAAGGAATGCCCGGACGTCAGACTAATCCTTAATCAATGGTTTTGAAAATAGGTTCTTAAGAGTCGCTACCAATGTTTTACTCAAAACATTAGAAAAAGAAAAGGGTTTTCTTTTTAAGTCGAATAATGGCGTTAATAACCAAAATTGAGTTCGGGGGTTGATTACGTGTAGGTAAAATATTAAGCACCCCTATAACATCCTTAAGAAATTAATTTTTAAGGCTAATATTTTTCCTAACAACCGCATATACTAATATTTTAAGTAATATTTGTCAGGTGCGATCATACTAGCACCAATGCACCAGATCCCATCAGAACTCCGTAGTTAAGCGTGCTTGGGCAAGAATAGTATTAAGATGGGTGACTTCCTGGGAAGTTCTCGTGTTGCATATCTTTTTTTCTGCCGATTTGGTTACTTACATGGTTATTCGATGTTTTTTTCTTAAAAAAAATTGTCTCGGTTGTTTTTGTCAAATTTAACTGTCTCAATTTTTTAACAGGGGTACTTTTGTTAAATTTTCAAACTATCTCGGATTGAACTCAAATATTAGCCTTAAATTTCAAAATTTAAGGCTAATATTGTTCCTTACAATTGCATATACTAAAACTTTGCGTAATACTTGACAGGTGCGATCATACTATCACTAATGCACCAGATCGCATCAGAACTCTGCAATTAAGTGTGCTTGGGCGAGAGTAGTACTAGGATGGGTCACCTCCTTTGAAGTCCTCGTGTTGCACCTCTTTTTTTTTGCCGATTTCTTACTTACGTGGTTATTTGAAGTTTTTTTCTTAAAAAAATCGTCGCGGTTGTTTTTGTCAAATTTAACTGTCTCAATTTTTTAACAGGGGTACTTTTGTCAAATTTTCAAACTATCTCGGATTGAACTTAAATATTAGCCTTAAAAATTCATATTTTAAGGCTAATATTTTTCCTTACAACCTCATATACTAATATTTTGAGTAATAATTGTCACGTGCAATCATACCAGCACTAATGCACCGGATCCCATCAGCGGATCCCATCAGAACTTCGCAGTTAAGCGTGCTTGGGCAAAAATAGTACTATAATGGATGACCTCCTAGGAAGTCCTCCTATTGCACCTCTTTTTTTTTATCGATTTCTTACTTACGTGGTTATTTGAAGTTTTTTTCTTAAAAACAATCGTGTCGATTGTTTTTGTCAAATTTTACTCAATTTTTTAACAGGGGTACTTTTGTTAAGTTTTTAAACTATCTCGGATTGAACTCAAATATTTGCCTTACAACCTCATATACTAATATTTTGTGTAATACTTGTCACGTGCGATCATACCAGCACTAATGCACCGGATCCCATCAAAATTTCGCAGTTAAGCGTGCTTGGGCGAGAGTAGTACCAGGATGGTTGACCTCCTGGGAAGTCCTCGTGTTGCACCTCTTTTTTTTGCCGATTTCTTACTTACGTGGTTATTTGAAGTTTTTTTCTTAAAAAAAATTGTCTCGGTTGTTTTTGTCATATTTAACTGACTCAATTTTTTAACAGGGTCTTTTTGTCAAATTTTTAAACTATCCAGGATTAAACTCAAATATTAGCCTTAAAAATTCAATTTTTTAGGCTAATATTTTTCCTTACTACCGCATATACTATTATTTTGCGTAATACTTGCCAGGTGCGATCATACCAGCACTAATGCACTGGATCGCATCAAAATTCTGCAAGGAAGTCCTCGGGTTGCATATTTTTTTTTTGTCGATTTCTTACTTACGTGGTTACTTGAAGTTTTTTTCTTAATAAAAATCATCTCAGTTGTTTTTGTCAAGTTTAACTGCCTCAATTTTTTAACAGAGGTTCTTTTGTCAAATTTTCAAACTATCTCAGATTGAACAAAAATATAAGCCTGAAATATTCAAATTTTAAGGCTAATATTTTTCCTTACAATCACATATACTAATATTTTGCGTAAAACTTGTCAGGTGCGATCATACCAGCACTAATGCATCGGATCCCATCAGAACACCGCTACTAAGCGTGCTTGGGCGAGAGTAGTACTAGAATGGGTGACCTCCTGGGAAGTCCTCGTGTTGCACTTTTTTTTTTGCCGATTTCCTACTTGCGTGGTAATTTCAAGTTTTTTTCTTAAAAAAAATCGTCTCAGTTGTTTTTGTCAAATTTAACTGTCTCAATTTTTTAACAGGGATACTTTTGTCAAATTTTCAAACTATCTCGGATTGAACTCAAATATTAGCCTTAAAAATTCAAATTTTAAGGCTAATATTTTTTCTTACAACCGCATATAGTAATATTTTGCGTAATACTTGTCATGTGCGATCCTAGAAGCACTAATGCACAGGAATCCATTAGAATTCCGCAGTTAAGCGTGCTTGGGCGAGAGTAGTACTAGGATGGTTGACCTCCTGGGAAGTCCTCGTGTTGTACTACTTTTTTTGTCGATTTCTTACTTACGTGGTTATTTGAAGTTTTTTTCTTACAAAAAATTGTCTCGGTTGTTTTTGTCAAATTTCACTGTCTCAATTTTTTAACAGGGGTACTTTTGTCAAATTTTTCAACTATCTCGGATTGAACTCAAATATTAGCCTTAAAATTTCAAATTTTCAGGCTAATATTTTTCCTTACTACCGCATATACTATTATTATGCGTAATACTTGTCAGGTGCGATCATACCAGCACTAATGCACTGGATCCCATCAAAACTTCACAAGGAAGTCCTCGTGTTGCACATCTTTTTTTCTGTCGATTTCTTACTTACGTGGTCATTTGAAGTTTTTTTCTTAACAGAAATCATCTCAGTTGTTTTTGTCAAATTTAACTGGCTCAATTTTTTAACAGGGGTTCTTTTGTCAAATTTTCAAACTATCTCGGATTGAACTAAAATATTAGCCTTAAATATTCAAATTTTAAGGCTAATATTTTTCCTTACAACCGCATATACTAATATTTTGCATAATACTTGTCAGGTGCGATCATACTAGCACTAATGCACTGGATCCTATTAGAACTCCGCAGTTAAGCGTGCTTAAGCAAGAATAGTACTAGGATTGTGACCTCTTGGGAAGTCCTCGTGTTGCAACTCTTTCTTTTTGCCGATTTCTTACTTACATGGTTATTTGATGTTTTTTTCTTAAAAAAAATCGTCTCAGTTGTTTTTATCAAATTTAACTATTTCAATTTTTTAACAGGGGTACTTTTGTCAAGTTTTCAAACTATCTCGGATTGAACTCAAATATTAGCCTTAAAAATCAAATTTTAAGGCTAATACTTTTACGTACAACAGCATATACTAATATTTTGTTTAATACTTGTCTGATGTTATCATACCAGCACCAATGCACCGTATCCCATTAGAACTCTGCAGTTAAGCGTGCTTGGCCGAGAGTAGTACTAGGATGGGTGACCTCCTGGGAAGTCCTCGTGTTGCACTTTTTTTTTTTCCGATTTCTTACTTACGTGGTTATTTCAACTTTTTTCTTAAAAAAAACCGACTCGGTTGTTTTTGTCAAATTTAACTGTCTCAACTTTTTAACAGGGGTACTTTTGTCAAATTTTCTAACTATCTTGGATTGAACTCAAATATTAGCCTTAAAAATTCAAATTTTAAGGCTAATATTTTTACTTACCGCTGCATATAATAATATTTTGCTTAATACTTGTCAAGTGCGATCACCAGCACTAATGCACCGTATCCCATTAGAACTCCGCAGTTAAGCGTGCTTGGCCGAGAGTAGTACTAGGATGGGTGACCTCCTAGGAAGTTCTCGTGTTGCACCTCTCTCTTTTTGTCGATTTGTTACTTACGTGGTTATTTAAAGTTTTTTTCTTAAAAAACAACCGTCTCGGTTGTTTTTTTCAACTCCAATTGTATCAATTTTTTAACAGGGGTACTTTTGTCAAATTTTTAAACTATCTCAGATTGAACTCAAATATTAGCCTTAAAAATTCAAATTTTGAGTCTAATATTTTTCCTTACAACCGCATATACTAATATTTTGCATAATACTTGTCAGGTGCGATCATAGCAACACTAATAAACCGGATCCCATTAGAACTTCGCAGTTATGCATGCTTGGGCGAGAGTAGTGCTAGGATGGGTGACCTCCTGGGAAGTCCTCATGTTGCACCTCTTTTTTTTGCCGATTTCTTACTTATGTGGTTATTTCAACTTTTTTCTTAAAAAAAATCATCTCGGTTGTTTTTGTCAAATTTAACTGTCTCAACTTTTTAACAGGGGTACTTTTTTCAAATTTTTAAACTATCTCATATTAAACTCAAATATTAGCCTTAAAAATTCAAATTTGAACGCTAATATTTTACCTTACAACCGCATATACTAATATTTTTTGTAATACTTGTCAATTGCGATCATACAAGCACTAATGCATCGGATCCCATTAGAACTCAGTAGTTAAGCTTGCTTGGGCGAGAGTAGTACAAGGATGGGTGACATCCTTGGAAGTACTCGTGTTGCACCTCTTTTTTTTTTCAGATATGGGTGACATCCCATATCTGAAGATTGACCACAGCCTAATTAATTGAATGCCTTACCGCTTTAAACTTTGCTTGGAGTTCGATCCGCCTATGAACTCTTCTTCATACCCTTACTCTCTTACCGGAAAGGCAACCCAACAAAAAAAGTCTTAGTCCACCACAGCTTCGTCCCAAAGCTTCGATGGAGATTCCAGGGGCTGAAAAAGTGGGAATTACAGTATGTTCTTCTCAAGCCAAACCTTCCGAATGGAGGCGCTGGGTTTCTCTGGACTACTCTTCTGCCATTACCCTTGACATGGTTATTTGAAGTTTTTTTCTTAAAAAAAATCGTCTCTGTTATTTTTGTCAAATTCAGCTGTCTCAATTTTTTCACAGGGGTACTTTTCTAAAATTTTTAAACTATCTCGGATTGAACTCAAATATTAGTCTTAAAAATTCAAATTTTAAGGCTAATATTTTTCCTTACAACTGCATATACTAATAATTTGCGTAATACTTTCTAGGTGCGATCATACCAGCACTAATGCACCGGATCCCATCAAAACTCCGCAGTTAAGCGTGCTTAGGCGAAAGTAGTACAAGGATGGGTGACCTCCTGGAAAGTCCTCGTGTTGCACCTCTTTTTTTTTTGCCCATTTCTTACTTACGTGGTTATTTGAAGTTTTTTTTCTTACAAAAAATCGTCTGGGTTGTTTTTGTCAAATTTAACTGTCTCAATTTTTTAACAGGGATACTTTTGTCAATTTTCAAACTATCTAGGATTGAACTCAAATGTTAGCCTTAAAAATTCAAATTTTAAGGCTAATATTTTTCCTTACAACCGCATATACTAATATTTTTCCTAATAGTTGTCAGGTGCGATCATACCAGCACTAATGCAACGGATCCTATCAAACTCCATAGTTAAGCATTCATGGGCAAGAGTAGTACTAGGATAAGTGCCCTCCTGTGAAGTCCTCGTGTTGCACCTCTTTTTTTTTTTTTTTTTTTTTTTTTCTGATTTCTTACTTACGTGGTTATTGGAAGTTTTTTTTTTTAAAAAATCGTCTTGGTTTTTTTTGTCACATTTAACTGTCTCAATTTTTTAATAGGGATACTTTTGTCGAATTTTCAAACTATCTCGGATTGAACTCAAATATTAGCCTTAAAAATTCAAATTTTAATTCTAATATTTTTCCTTACAACCGCATATACTAATATCTTTCCTAATACTTGTCAGGTGCGATCACACTAGCACTAATGCACCGGATCCCATCAGAACTCCGTAGATAAGAGTGCTTGGGCGAGAGTAGTACTAGGATGGGTGACCTCCTGGGAAGTCCTCGTGTTGCACCTCTTTTTTTTTGCCGATTTCTTGCTTACGTGGTCATTTGAAGTTTTTTTCTTTAAAAAAATTGTCTCGGTTATTTTTTTCAAATTTAACTGTCTCAATTTTTTAACAGGGGTACTTTTGTCGAATTTTCAAACTATCTCGAATTGAAGTCAAATTTTAGCCTTAGAAATTCAAATTTTAAGGCTAATATTTTTTCTTACAACCGCATATACTAATATTTTGCGGAATACTTGTCAGGTGCGATCATATCGGCACTAATGCACCGAATCCCATCAGAACTTCGCAGTTAAGCATGCTTGGGCGAGAGTAGTACTAGGATGGGTGACCTCCTTGGAAGTACTCGTCTTACACCTTCTTTTTTGCCGATTTCTTACTTACTTGGTTATTTGAAGTTTTTTTCGTAAAAAAATTGTCTCGGTTGCTTTTGTCAAATTTAACTGTCTCAATTTTTTTACAGGGGTACTTTTGTCAAATTTTCAAACTATCTCAGATTGAACTCAAATTTTAGCCTTAACAATTCAAATTTTAAGGCTAATATTTTTCCTTACAACAACATATACTAATATTTTGCGTAATACTTGTCAGGTGCGATCATACCAGCACTAATGCACTGGATCCCATCAAAATTCCGCAGTTAAGCGTGCTTGGGCGAGAGTAGTACTAGGATGGGTGACCTCCTGGGTTTAGGGTTTGGGATGGGTGACTTCCTAGGTTTAAAACCCCAATTTTAAAAGGCCAAGTTTACGCATAAGGTTGAGTTCAAACCTAAAATAATTTAAAAGGCCAAGTTTGAGCCTAACATGATTTTAAAAGGTCAAGTTTGAGCCTAAGACCAAATTTGAACCTAACATGATTTTAAAGGCCGTGTTCGAAGCCTAACCAATCTTAAAAGATCAATTTTGAGCCTAAAGTTGACCTTAAGTCTAAACTAATTTGAAAGGCAGAGTTCAAAGCCTAACCAATCTTAAAAGGCCAAGTTTAAGCTTAAGGCCTTGAGTCTAAAATAATTTAAAATGTTGAATTTGAAACCAACTTATGAAATTTACCTAGTTTAATAGTTGGTTGAATTCAAGCCAACTTATAAAATTTACCAAGTTTAAAAAATGGCCAACTTTGAATCTAACTTGTGAAATTTACCAAGTTTAAAGTTTGAAGATTAAACTAGTTTAAGATTAATAACTTATAAAATTTTCCAAGTTAAAGACTGGTCAAATTTGAAGCCAATAAATTATACTATTTCTAAAATTGGTGAGTTTGAAGCCTTGTAAAGAAAAGGAATAACCATGTTTGACACTTTTTGATTAAAGAGTTGAGTTAGAATTTATTCCAATCGAACGAGTCAAACTTAAAATTTTACAACTTGATCAACTACAACTATAGAACGTTATAAAAATACTTGAACAAAATTCATGATAGAAATGAGATCGACATTCTCCATCATCATCTTTTCATATATATGACATTTTTTGATCTTCCTTACAAAATTCCTCCATAGTAAGCTCTACAATTGATAAAGATTTAACATGAGAAAGTATGGTTGTATGATCCAATCAAGCCAAAGGCCTAATAATTTTCCAACAACAAAATCAGTAGAAGTTGAAGCCCCTGGGGGCACTTGTTCCTTTCCTCTAACTTCATTTATATTATTTGTGGGAAGCTCGATGCTAGAAGCACCAATGTTACTAGCCATATCAAATGTGATCAATAAATTATCTTGTTGATTATTAATAGAATTTCCAAACTATCTTGTTGATTACTAACAAAATTTAAATTTTCAAGCACGAGAGCCTTATCAGAAGTACCTTCCAAACTCTGTTCAACAACTTTTCTGATTTCATTATTTTTCTCTTGCATTTGAATATGACCAATCTCATTGACAACATGATCTCACTTAACTTCAGCTTTTTTTCGAAACTATTTTGAAACCTCATCAACAACTTTCCTTATTTATGCAATTTGGATTATAGGTGAAGGAATGATATTTTCAACTTGGAAATCTTGATTATGCTTGTCAGATGAGCTGTACTTTCAAACAACTTGGTCTAACTTGAAATTACTCTTTAAGTGATACCAATCATTTTTGCCCATGATCTCTGCAAATAAAATCATATCAATCTAATTTACAAGTTAGATTCATATTATAAAGTATAGAATAAATATACAAGCATATAACACTCTTCTCTCATTGCCAACAAACAACTTAAAAAAAATGGAGATCGAAGATAAAATTGGACGTGAAACCTATATGCGAAGAGATCAGAAAGTTTAGTATCCAATCTTACCAAATTTTGTAAGAATAATAAGGATTTACAATTAAGTACCAATTAAAGTTTATAATAATTTTAATAATCTCATTATTAAAAAAAATACTACTTACTTATTTTTTTATTCTTCACACTCTTTAATACTTGGATTAATTAAAAGCTTAATTAGTAGAATTGAAAGTATTTGAAACTTCAGTCCTCCCTGCACTCATAATTTTGAATCAAATTATTAGAGTTATGTTATAGGTATTCATCATTTTATAAATATATGATCGAGTAATAAATATGTAGTTAAATGCCATTGAAGATTTTGATTTTGCTTAGTTGTAGTATGACTATGACTAAACTGTTTGGATCATGTTTGAGAACGTATTCATGCAATTGTTGAGCATAATTCTCCCACAAAGTACAATCTACCATATTTCCTCTGCATTAATAGATAAGAAATTATCAGTAAATATAAGAACAACTAAAACAATGATTAAGAATTGAAAATATAATACAAGACAGATAACTCACTTTAAATCTTCAAACACAATGTCGATCAGTTTATTCTTCGTGTCATTTTTCTCATTCTCTTTCAAATCATACTTTGAACATGTCCAATAACATCTGATATAATAAACTGTATATTGTTTAAAAGGTAAATATTTAGGTGATCAGATCTAAATAAAACATGATAGAAAATACAAAAAGTTTTATAAAAAAGAAGGCCTCACCTATGAAGTAAGTCTGACACACACCACAATATATGTCAGAGAATGTGACAAAGCTGAAACAATTTTCTGGTATTGTCCCCCATCTGTTTTCATACACATAGTGGTTCTTATGAAATTGAGCTTAAACTTTTGTTACTTTGAATTTAGAACTAGTTTGAGCCACCAATAAGTTTTGAATGAGATAATAGGACCCTTCTTCAAGAATGTTTTCAAACATATAAATGAGGTTCTGCTTAACAGAACCTTGAACCTTTGAAGACAAACAACAAAAAACATGAATTAATTGTATAACAGTAAAATGAGAAAATTACTTAAGCAGATAGCAGAATTAGAATTTTTTCAATTTAAATTTAAATAAAGCAACACAATGACTATGACTTACCTGTTCATCAAGAAAAATCATCTCTATTGATTTTGTTGCGTTAAAGTTGTTTTTTCAACATATTCCATAAATAGATCACACAGATTTTGATTTTTCACTCTACTTTTCCGGGCACAATGTCTTTAATGAACGAAAACCGTTGTGCCATCCTGAATATATGGTCAAAAAAAGATATACTTCAAAGAAGAAAGGTGTTACTCGTCAATTTTTGAGTTTGCAGCAATGTTAGAGTATATTTGGCATACCCTTCATAGACTTCTCACTGGTTAGTTGTTTTTCTAAATGTCCTCATATGAAACTAATACATTTGAATTTAATCAATCAATAAGACTACGTGATAATGCTGAGAGTTTTTTATGCTTAACTTTCTAGTAACATACTGATATGGACTAATATGTTTTCAAAAGTAATTTGAGAGAATACGGACCTGAGTAGTGTTACCTTAATGACTCTACAATAGACGGTTTGAGAATAACCACTATTAACTTCTACAACAAATGTAAGCACTATTAACTCAAAGTTGAGAATAAGCAGTATTTGAGAGAATACGAACCTGAGTAGTGTTATATATCTGTTGCATTAAATGGCACAAGTATTGATGTATGTGTATTCCATTTGAACTAATATACTCTCTCCGTTTTTTTTTCATAGTCGTTTTGTCAGAGTTTGTTGTTTTTTTTTCATTGTCATGTTACTAAAATCAATGAGTTATTAATTTTTTTCTTCCATTTTTATCCTTGATAATTAATACATGTTTCCTGAACAATGTGTGTATTTATTTTTAATGTCTACCTAATTTCTCTACAACTACTCATATAAAGTTAATGTGCATTTATAAGAGCAATATGTTCCCAACAAAATACTATAAAAAAACAAAAGAAAAAGGGACAACTATTTAATGGAGTAGTTCAATAGTCTAAAAAATGCAATAAAAAAATAAAGGGTAAAATAAGAAAGTAAATAATAAATATTTTTGAAAACTAAAATATCAATGATTTCCTTAAATCTCGTGCAAAACCTTAAACGACTAAGAAAAAAAAACTGAGGGAGTAATATTGATTGTGTAAGTTTAGACGGCTATCTGACATCACTCAAGTGTTTCTTTTTGATCATATTTATGTTGCATTAACGATAGGAGGTTCGTTATCCTTTAGTAGTCATAACCAATTATACGAATTATGTTACATTTCAAACTATAACAATAAGGAACTTTTTAATAACTCTTTCATATGGGAAAACTATGCTGATACATAATTCAAATGTAGTTGTTATAATTACGCAGACATGTCTCCATCTTGCTAATACATAATTCTAATTTTATTGCTTTCTTGCATTTCTGGCTCCATCTTAAAAATAGTGCAGTTGTTATTTTTGTTGAGAATCTGAATCAGCATCTATTATTTGAGTTTATTTTATATTAATGGAGCATTATTAGAATTCCTACAGTTATGATTTTTTAACTATAGAAATTATAGGTGTTGTTACATTTTTATGAGTATTTATATTTGTCATTTAATTTTATGTTTATGAGCAGAATTTGTATCAACTTTCAATTATGTATTTAAAAGGTTACAAGTATGAATAAAATATATGAGTTTAAGTCTTCTAATTCTTCTTGAATTCCAACAAGTAGTATCAAGAGCTTGCTTCTTACGGGCTGTGAGGAAAAGTTTATTGAGCGCTAAACACATTAAGGTTGAGTACAAACACAAAATTTAGTGATTTATTGTTTAAACAATTTTTGGTGCAAGGATGTCTACTTCTACCAATTCACCTACAATTCCAATGTTTAATGGTGAAAATTATCATATTTGGGCCGTCAAGATGAAATTTGTTTTAAGATCTCAAGGCTTATGGAATGTTGTAATTTCTGAAGCTGATCCACCACCATTGAGAGAAAATCCAACCATTGCACAAATCAAAGCTTATGAGGAGGAGAAGCTGAAGAAAGATAAAGCCATCACTTGTCTACATGCAGGACTTGCAGAT